GTCTGGGTTGTAGGCTTGATACCCAGAAGGGGGCATGCAGGAGGCAGCCAATCCATGATTCTTTCTCATCATTGATGTTTCTATCTCTCCCTCTTCCTTCCTCTCTGAAATAAACAAAAATATTTTTAAAAAATAAAGTGATTTTTTCTTCTGGGAATTATAGTGGAATTAATTTATGAGATATAGATTTGACCTTAATTATAACAAGTATACTTAATATCATTGTTTTTTTATAGCCTGAGACCGTGTCAGTTCAGTCTTCAGTACTAGGGAAAGGGATAAAACATCGACCTCCACCCATCAAACTTCCCTCAAGCTCAGGAAATAGTTCCACAGGTATTACATTCTCTACTTTTCTGTAATCTAGTGTAAAAAAACATCATATGGTCATAACTTGTTTTTAAAATTTTACTCATAATTTGATTTTCACAAAATTTTGAATTATAGGAACCAATATTATATTCTAGGTAACTATTTTACGCCACAACAGGCCAGCAGCTTTCTTAAGTCTCCAACTCCTCCTCCTGCTTCTAAGCCACCAAGTCTTTCTCGAAAGTCATCTGTGGATCTCAGTCAAACTAGCATGCTTTCTCCAGCTGCCCTGTCACCTGCCAGTTCATCACAAAGTGAGTCCTGGTTTAAATTCTTATAGTAACTCTTCATAAACTTTAGCATTAGTGTTTCTTAGATAGCTTTTTTTGACCAGTAAAATCTGGATAAACTGTGTACCCAAATGTATAAGTTTTGATAATCTTGAGGCAAATCTCGTTGATTATATGTATTATATGTTTAATATAATTGTATTTGTTTTTCTATATTTATGTATGTACCTTGTGTATACCTTTCTTATAGACTTACAGCCTATACATATCCTTTTTAAAAGTCTGGTAGTTAGATATGGTAGTAAAATTCCAGAATATTTTTTATTTTATTTTATCCTGGGGCCACTTTACATTTTACATAAACTTTGCAGCTATATGAAAAAAATGTCATAAGTGTTCTTGGTGCAGGCTTGTCTTTGTATATGTAAGAAGCCAACTATTTCCAAGGTGGTGATACAATAAACTGAAAGCCAATTTTTCTGAAACATTCTACACTCTTATAAATTGTCAGTTAGTAAAACGTGATGATTACAAAGCATTATTCTGAAGATATTAAAATGTAATTTTTAGTACTTAATACTTTTTTATCATTAAGAAGAGTTATTTAAGAATTCTTTGGGAAGAATTTCTTCAAATTAATAAATATCGGAGATATTTTAATCCTAATTTGCAAGAAAGCATTCCAGTTTTTTAGATTTTTTTTTATAGGTAATTAAAATATGCTTTAAGTTTTAGTACACTGCACAGTAATAGGGTGGTTGTCTTCTCATTAGATATAAACATCTTCATCTTGATAGCTCAAAAGGTGTAATTTTTCTGCCTTCTTGTTTTGCACAAAGAAAAATATATCAATTTCCTGAAAGTCTTATTCACACTTTTTATGTTGTGGGTATGAATTATGCTAATCTGCACACAGTTGTTACTTTAAGTAAGGGTTGAGTGACAGCTTCTGGACATTCACATTTCTTTCCTTTCTTTCTGCAGGACATGAAAGCTAAAAAAGAAAACACCTCAAGAGCTTTTGGTTTTACTTTTTTTGTTTTTGTTTTTTGTTTTGTTTTTTCTTAAAAAGTTGATAAACTGTGTATACTTCATTCACAACAGATTTTCTATACATTCTACAATTAAATAGAAGTACGCAGTTACTGTTAATGATGCAGTATTACCTATCAAATATTTGCTTTATTACTGTGTTTTGTAAATTTGCTTGTCAGGATAAACTTGATGTGTTAGAACTTAAACATGTTTATTTAGGTGCCACATATGACTATTAACCATATGTAATTTATTAAATATGTTCAGCGTTATCTCAGACTATTATAGAAAATAAGCAATATTTTTAAATGAAGTCCTAAATTAGTGAAATTGTAAATAACAAAAAATTAATTTGAGTTCATTTTAAACTTTTTAGACTAAAGGTAACATATAGAAAAATAACTTAAATGAGTACTGTGGTAGAATACAAATATGTGTTTTTAATGTTACTATAATAACATCTGATGGGATTTTTAGGTGATATACTGCATCCTTAATTGTAATTGAGTGTAGCAACACTCATGTATCATGTGTAGAAATTAACACTTGCAGTTAACTGCTTTAAAAAAAAAACTGGAACAAATTGTCAGTGCTAAGTAAAATTCCATTAACCTTATTTTTAAAAAGACTGGCCATTTATAACAAACTAGCAATTTTTATTTTTCTCAATGAGCAGGATCTGGAACTCCTAAGCCATCTACTCCTACACCAACCCTTTCATCGACCCCATACCCTCCTGATGTTCAGAGCTCAACTCTTATTATCCCTTCAACTACCCCTACTCCCCAAGATTCAGGCTTCACCCCTCAGCCCATTTTGTTAACTCAGTTTGCTCAGCAGCAAAGGTCTCTGAGCCAGGCAATGCCTGTAATGACCATTCCTCTTTCCACCATGGTAACATCTATAACTCCAGGAACCACAGCTACCCAGGTCATGGCAAACTCTGCTGGACTTAACTTCATCAAAGTAGTGGGCTCTGTTTGGTAAGTCTTCATTGATGCCCTGATTTTTTCAAAAGATATTCTCACCAATCTGAATGAATTCTCATTTGTGAAATTAAGAATAAATGTCATCTTACTGAAAATGAAAGGAAATACTATAAATATGGATAAAAGCTATCTCAACCAAGTATGTTTTAATTTTGAATAATACATCTATTTATATGCACGAAGACAATACTATTACATATTGACAGTAGCTTAGATTTTTCTGTTTGTCTTCTGTTACTATCTTTTAATCCTTCGATCAGTGCTTTACTATTTGAAATTATATTATAACCTTGATAAATATGCAGTATATGTACTTAATTTTAGCCAACCTTGCTATAACTTTCTAGCATAAAAAGGAAACAGCCTTGAAATTGATATTTAATATAGAATTATCTCATTGGTTTAATGGTGATGTTGTTTTTTTCTTTTTTTAATCTAAGGAATTAAGGCTCTGATTTTTTTTCTTTTATATTATAAATTTAATGCTTTGTCTATTCTCCTTTAGTGGAGCTCAGGCTTTGATGAATGGTTCAAACCCTATGCTGGGCTGTAACACTGGTGCCATAACTCCTGCAGGAATAAGCCTTCTCCCCTCAGGAGGTCTGCTACCAAATGCATTACCTGGTACAATGCAGGCAGCTTCTCAAGCAGGTCAGAATATATTGGATATAATAACCTCTTTAAAAAATTAAAATACATACTAATGTAAAAATGACATTTTTATGCTGTTATTAAAAATATTTAACATGCCTCATGTTAAAAAGGCTCTTTTTAAAGGAAAGGCTTATGTTGGAAGCCTTTAAAGTTCTGGTATTTAAATTAAAAATCATCTAGCAATCAGCTTCTGGAAAGAAACTTGATAAGCCCCATAAATCTGCAAATTATATCTTTGTCTTCTACACATTATAATAAAGTTAACATTGATAGTCTTATTGTTATCTTACTCCAAATAGAAGGAATGTATCTTGAAAATATATATTGTGCAAGAAAGGCGACATAGTGTGGCAATTAAAAGCCCCCGTTTTGGAGGCAGACTGCCTGAGTTTGAATCCCAGTTCTGTAACTTAACTTTTTGGGTAATCATGGGAAAGTTACCTTTGTGCCTCACTTTTTCATAAATAAAATGTGGATAATAATAATAATACCTTAATACCTCTTAATTGTGAGCATTAAATGAGTATATACAGATGAACTGCTTAAATTATACCTTGACCTAAGCATATAAAAATATGTGCTGCCATCAATAGTAGTAGTTTTATTGTTGTAGTAACTTGTTACTACATATACTAGAAAATAGCTATAACAGCTTGTACTATTTAATGTTCCTTAAGAGAATGTAATGTAATATCTTGTTACAATCCAGTTTTCTACTGCTGAGAAAAAAATTTAATAGGAAAAACAAACTTGACAAAGTAAGAAAATTAATCAAAAACTTTATATGACTTAAGATGATGATTTTCAACCTTTATCACCTCATGGCACACATAAACTAATTACTGAAATTCTGTGGCAGGCACACCAAAAAATAATTTTTGCCGATCTGACAAAAAATTGGTATAATTTTGATTTATTTACAGAAAGAAATAATAATAGTAATTACCTACCTTTTTTGCTACAAAGTAACTTTTAAAAAAATCAGATATCTAGCCCTGGCTGGGTTGTTCAGCTGCGTCATCCCATACATCAAAAAGTTGAGGGTTTAATTCTAGGTCAGGGCACCAGGAATGTTTTGGGAAGCATAGGAGGCAACCAATTAATGTTTTGCTCTCTCTCTAAAAAGTCAATAAAAACATATTGTTCAGTGAGGAATAAAAAAATAAAAATCAGGTGCCTATATTTGTATATAAGGATTTCTGGTACCAAGAATTGTCCAAGCAGATGCTACCTTACGATGCAACTCTATAATATATCCTCTCTGGATATTATTCAAGACAGAGCATTCACACCAAACGGCTATCGTTGTGTAGGCTGTTGTCATTTCTTTTAACAATCTAAACGAAAAGAGGTCTGTAACTATTGAATGTCTTAAATATTCTTGCAGCACACTGATTGAAAAATCACTGACTTAAGAGAGCCCAAAGAATCCTATCTAATAAAAGAGTAATATACAAATTGACAGTCACTCCAACACACAAGATGTCTGCCCCCATGTGGACACAAGATAGCTGCCACAATATGTCCAGCAGGGGAGGGCAGTTGTGATCAAGCCTGCAGGGGAGGGCAGTTAGGGGTGACCAGGTCATCAGGAGAGGGTAGTTGGGGGGGACCAGGCCTGCAGGTGAGCAGTTAGGCATCAATCAGGCTGGCAGGGGAGTGGTTAGGGGTAATCAGGCTGGCAGGTAGAAGGGGTTAGGGATAATCAGGAAGGCAGGCAGGTGAGCAATTGGAAACCAGCAGTCCTGGATTATAGAGGGTGCAAGCTGGGCTGAGAGGCACACACTCCCATGCTCAAATTTCGTGCCCTGGGCCTCTAGTATAATATAAGCATGTTAACATTTCTGTAATTTCCTAATTTTTTGGCTGATGTTCTTATTTTAATGTGCATAAAAGTGCTGTAGTGGTGGAAGCACTGGAAATGGAATCAGATGTTGAATTTAAATATATTTTGTTGATTTCGTACAGAGAGGAAGGGAGAGAGATAGTTAGAAACATCGATGAGAGAGAGTCATCGATCGGCTGCTGCTTGCACACCCCCTACTGGGGATATGCCCGCAACCAAGGTACATGCCCTTGACCGGAATCAAACCTGGGACCCTTCAGTCCCCAAGCTAACGCTCTATCCATTGAGCCAAACCGGTTTCGGCCAGATGTTGAATTTAGAATGTTCATATTTACATGTAACTCTACCAGTTACACATGGCTTCCAATGCTAACTGTGGGTCCTTAAGGAAGTCTGTTTTTCTTCCTTAGATTCCATTTCATTTGATGTAAAGTATGAGTATTTATCTAACTATAATAGGTATTTCAGATTAATAAATGAAGTGCCTTTAATAAGCAATAGCATTATATAGATGTCATTTACCTTTAAAGGAAATTTTGACAATTCTTTACATGAGAATTCCTGAAAGTAAAATCAGTGTCATATTTTCATCTGATTATGCTTTTTTTTTTTTAAGTTTCTTTATACAAAAATTTCCTGCCTCTTACCTTTTTATTATTTACTTATTTATCTGTTTATTTATTTACTTATTTAATCTGAGGCTATTTTTTGTTGATTTTAGAGAGGAATGGAAAGAGAGAAACATCTGTGTGAAAGAGAAACATCGATCAGTTGCCTCTACCCAGACCAGAAATCAAATCTGCAATGTTTCAGCCAACTGAGCTGCCTTTCCAGGGCCTGTCTCTTACCTTTTAAAAAAAATTTGCTTAGCAGACTAGATACATTTTTAATTAGAGTTCAAATTGGTATATATTGTTAGTGAGAAAAATATACATGCATTTTGAGACTAGCGTCAGCAAATAAAAATCTTACAGTCTAAATTAGATTTTACATTTTTAAAGATGTGTTTAAAATGTAAAGAAAAATGAGCAGGAAGAATATCCAACAGAACATTTTCAGTCTGGCCTATTGAAAAAGTTTGCCAGCTCCTGATTTATGATGTGTTCTATGTTGTCACAAAATTAACAGTATTATTTCCTATTAGTTTGACCCTACAAACAAAATTCATTGTACTTTATTATTCATATTAGCATTCGGACTTTAAAATAATTGCATGGAGCACACTGGTTCTCAGAGATATAGTTGTTGTGATTATCGTATATTATATAGTATATAGCACCTAGGAATGTCAATAGAAGCCAACACCTGAAAATTTGTTTGCATAACTGTGATAGTTCAGTTATATTTATGGCCTATGCATATGTCTAGATTACTTTTTCCAGCTAACAGTCAAAATAGTGATAAAGAAATCTCAGTTTCTCAAATATAGAATAAAATGTACATGTAATGCTCACATCTTTTATCTCAGTATTGATGGGTATTGTTTTTAAGATCATTTTGAAAGTATAGAAAATAAAGCAAATCTAGGAACAAAGTACTTAAAATGTCATATTTATTTATGCTAAAGTATAAAGTGTTTTCATGTTTAAAAGATTTAATTCCCTTTTATAACCAGGAATTGTATTTAATAGGTGTTCCATTTGGTTTAAAAACTACTTCAAGTCTCAGGCCCTTGAATCTACTTCAGGTAAACCTGAATCACTGCTCTTGATTAAAGTTTTCATACTTTGATATTTTTATTACAATGTATACCTATATATGCCAGCATTTGAAATTTTGAGATGGTTCAGAATCTTGTGAGGATATGGATATAATTGCTTCCTTTGCATGGTTGAGAGGGTAAGAAGAAAGAATGGGTGTCTTTCATACTGTACTTTCATTGACCTCTGTCAAATCAAGAACTGGATGTTTTGATATGGAGAATTGACAACTACAAAGTGAATAGTTGCCTATTCACTACATTAGCAGTAATACCTACACTTAAAAAATAATTCCTCTCTCAATAACCATTTGTGTCTACATAAATGTAGTACTTTTTGCTTACAAAAGATTTTGTACTTGAATAGAGGATTTAAAAATAGCTTTGTTCTTTTCCTGAGGAGAATTTCTTAGCACAGTGCCAGGCACCTTAGAGTCATTTGGTAAATATTCATTAGATTACATTTTGTGTCTAATGATGAGGCTTTTCTTATAAATGATATAAATGCCAACATAGACAGCATGTAAAGAGATCAAATGTGGAGATTTCGTACACGTAGAGTGTGAACTTAAAATATTTACAGTGTTAGGCTCTACGTCCTTTGTAAGGTTTGGACTCCAGGATTAAATTAGGTTGGTAGTTGATAAGATTATCTACAGAGAATTTAGAAAAGATAGGTAATATAAAGACTTAGAGACACAAAATTGGGAAATAACAGTAAAAGACAGATCAAACCAATCTGGTATCCTATATAATAAAATCCTAATATGCAAATCGACTGAAGAGCAGAATTATCAGTCACCATGATGCACACTGACCACCAGGGGGCAGACGCTCAATGCAGGAGCTTCCCCCCAGCCTGCAGGCCCCAGACCAGCCAAGGCGAGTGCCCCCCCCCCCCACATCACCTCACTGGTCGCCCCACAGATAGGCCCTGATCACTGGCCAGGCCTAGGGACCCTACCCGTGCACAGATTTCGTGCACCAGGCCTCTAGTTTATAAGTAAATCAGGAAATGTGTTTAGAGCCAAAACACAAAACTTCTTATCCAAGATGCAAACACAATATTACTATATACAGACTGTAATTATAGAACAATCTACTTGTAATATGGATAAATCACAAATCACATTGGTTTATTCAACTTTCCTACACATTGCTGTTGGAACTTCTGTCAGGGATTAGTCTTGGTGAAAATAGGAATGGAATTCCTTAATAGAACTGATAATAAAGAATAACGACAAAGCCACCATAAAAATGAATTTTGCTACATTTACTATCAAACTGTTTGAGGAAAGAATATTTGACTTGTGCTATGCCCAAATTTACTTAACAACAAGCTGTGCTGGATATAGAGATTTTTAACTTTATAGATCTCAGAATTCTATATTTGGTATTTGGACTTTCTCTTAAGGACTTCAAAGTGCTTATAATTTAAACTCCTATAGATTAAAAAAGAAAAACCCTTTGTTTCCTGATTCATTTGGAATTACTAGTTTTAATTTTTAACATGAATTTTTCTGAATTCTTCTTAAAACCTTTTTTTTTTAATTTAACTTAATTTAGATTCTGAATGACAAAGCTGGAAATATCTCCAAACTAAATATGGAGATATTTAAACTAATGCACTTTTCAGCTTTGGAATTTCTTACTATATTATATAAGCATCCATGAAGTCATGGGATTTGGCAAAGCTAGACAAATTTTGAGAGATGAATTTTCATAAGTATATCTCTGATTTTCAGTAGCTTGTTGCTTACTTTCTAGTGTACTGAATGCTGTTTTGTATTGAGGTATAAAAAAGTTAAACTCAGTGTGTATATTTGTATATGTCATTAACTTGAAGCAGAATGACTTATATTTGATAGTATTAACATATTTGAGATTCCTTAGTAATAACACTTAAAAATTGTTTTCAAATCTTTCTTTTTAAGGGCAGAGATCATGTTTTGCTTTTATTTTTGTTTACCTCTGTTTCCTCAATCCCTAAAAGAGTACTTGACACATAGTGAATGTTCCAAAAATACTTGTGGAATAAAAAAATTTAAACAATGTGAAATTAATGAGTTCATGTTTAAATTCTTAATAGCTTCCAGGTGGTTCACTAATTTTCAACACTCTGCAGCAGCAGCAGCAGCAGCTCTCTCAATTTACACCCCAACAACTTCAGCAACCCACAACTTCCAGTCCTCAACAGCCAGGGGAGCAGGTATGTGCTTTTCTATCTTTTCATGTTTTGTATTATAGAATTGTATTTTATAGTAGAGGCCCAGTGCACAAATTTATGCACAGGTGGGGTCCCTTAGCCTGGCCAGAGATTGGGCCAGTTGGGGCGGGGGGGGGGGGGGGGGTTGGGGGATGTTGGCGGGCCAGTCTCTCCCCACCTGCACGCGCGCCCCTCTTCCCCCCAAATCAGGGCTGATGGGGGTGGCTGGCCAGTGGAAGGAGCCATGAGAAGTTGGCTGTGGGAGCACAGTGACCACCAAGGGGCAGCTCCTATGTTGAGCATCTGCTCCCTGGTGGTCAATGCACATCATAGTGAGCCATTGAGCGGCCTTAGGATATCATTAGCATATTATGTTTTGATTGGTTGAACAGATGACTGAACGACCAGACACCGCATTAGGCTTTAATTATGTAGGACTAGAGGCCCGTTGCTGAAATTCATCCACGGGTTTGTGTATGTCCCTCAGCCCAGCCTGCACTGTCTCCAATCTGGGACCCCTCAAGGGATGCCTGACTGTCCATGTAGGATCAGTTGGATCAGACCTACAGGGCAATTGGCATTCCTCTCACAATCTAGGACTGCTGGTTTCCAAGCACTTGCTTGCCTGCCTGCCAGCCTGATCACCCCCTAACCACTCCCCTACCAGCCTGATCGACACTTAACTGCTTCTCTGCTGGCTAGATTGTCTCCTATAGCTCTCTCCTACTGGCCTGGTCACCCTAACTATCCTCCTCTGCATGTGTAGTCATCTCCAACTGCCCTCCCCTGCTGGCCTGGTCACCCCCAACTGCCCTCTCCTACAAGCCTGATCACCCCCAACTGCTCTCTCCTACAGGCCTTGTCCCACCAAACTGCCCCTCTTGCTGGCCTGGTCCCCCCTCCCCACAGGCCTGGGTTCCCCAACTTTATTTCCTACAGACCTGATCGCTCCTAACTGCCCTCTTGCAGGCCTGGTCACTCCCAACTGCCCTCCCTTGCTGGCCATTTTGTGCTGGCCATCTTGTGTGTTGGAGTGTCGGGCAATTTGCATATTACCCTTTTATTAGGTTTTGTTCTTGCTAATTCTTCTGAAGTCTTTTCCTTGTTACTGTTTTTATAATAGTCTAAAATTGTTATTTGTTGTCCTATAAAGAAAATACTAGATTCTTACCAACACAAATTGTTTTTCTTTTTATACAACTCATGTATGATTTTTATTTAGGGTTCTGAACAAGGATCAAACAGTCAAGAAAAGGCTTTATCTGCTCAGCATGCTGCTGTTATTAATCTTGCTGGAGTAGGAAGTTTTATGCAGTCACAGGCAGCTGGTTGGTATCTTCATGATTTCTTATGTTGAGTTTATTATTTAATTTAGTTGGGATCTCACCTTTTAAGATTATTTTTCCTTCTCGTGCAAGCATTAAGTAGGAAATAGTATAGATATATTTACTTGTGAACTATTAAATCAAGTTATTGATAGCCCCCAGTTTTTTCCCACTGACAGTTAATATTTGTTCTCATTCTGATATCTTGTATTTGCATGAATTAAGATGTAATATCAGTAACATAACTTCTATAAGCCACTTATTTGTAAAAAAATGAGATTAAATGACTGCTTACCACTTCCAACAGTAAATGAACCAGTTATGGCAAACCATAATCTTTAATGAAGATTATCTTGTAAATTGAAAATAGTAATTACAGAGTTTGAGGATTGAATAAGGTCATGTCAACATTTTGAATTATCATTGGTGCCTTTATAATCAATCATATACAAGTAACTCCCAGTATCTGAATTTAGAATAAGGTCTTACATGTAGAGATTTAGAGCTAGAGAATTTTCTAATGGAAATTTAATTTTTATAATCCTTTACCCCATGATATTACCTTCTTAAGTACCAGTATAATTTAGTAGAAAGAACTCTAGACTGAAAAACCGTAAAAAT